GGTGCTGGGCCAGGGGCGCTCGGCCGGGGGCCGGGCCCGGGGCCGGCACCCCAGGAGCCGAGCCAGGCTGGAGACGCTGGGGCTGGGGCCGGCCGCCGGAGGGAGCCGCTCGGTTGGGGGGCCGAGACTGGGCCGCGCCTCCTCCTCCCCCCCGCAGCTTACCTGCTGCCTGTTTCAGGCTTCCCGCGAATCAAATGTTCGCGGAAGCAGGGCAGGGGGCGGGGCTGGGGCCCCGTGGAGTGTCCTCTTTTTGGACACTCAAAATATGGTAACCCTAATTTAATTGCTTGGCTCTCACAAGGCTAAATTCTCTCCACAGCTTTGAATATTCACTCCAGAATGCATCATGAGCAAGGGCCAGATTTTAGCCAACTGCATTTTCCTTCCGTTCATTGTACATGTAATTGTAAGAGATTTATGAAGGAACATCCCATCAGACACTGTAAATAAGTCTTTCCTCTACTTTGGCTCTTACTCAGGGTGGCCTCACATGCTGAAAATCTTATTGACAACTTGATTTGGTATTTCAAAATAATTCAGGATTTTTGGAGAAATGGGAAATTAAGATTTGAGATAAAGATCAGTTTGCTGCAAACACAATGATTTTTATGTTCTCCTATAAAAGTGTCCATTCTGTGGAAGTTTTCTCAAAAGAAGATTTTTGGATAGCAATCGGCCAAAACCAAATGGAAAACAGCACGTGAAATTTGAAGAGAGTTACTTTCACAGAGCTATACGTAGTAATACAATAAATTGTATAGGACATATGATAATCTTAAGGAAGAAAAAAAATCTTAATTCATTAATTCTACATGTTGAACTTCGAGTTTCCTCTTTCACAAAAATATGAGGCATCCTGCTCATGCATTTCAAGACAGAATGCATCAGTCAGAAAGTATTAAGGCTACAAAGTTTTCCAAACTTTGATGTTTAAAGTGAAGACCAAAACTTTTACACCTATATGTATTGTCATTTTAGACTATGATTTTCAGAGACGTCTAAGGGACTTAAGATGACTAAACTCCCTTTGCTTCTTATCTACTCCACCCACTCAGTTCCACACTAATTTGTAATTATGACACAAGAAGCACTAATGCAACAAGCAAGCAGATTTCCTTAAAGGAAAGTAAATACACCGCTAAATTTTTATGGCCCTTTACCACCCCACCTCCCAGAGCCTTTTAAAAGTAAATATCAGTTAGGAAACACTGGTTGAAAATATCCATTCAGTAAATGACTTACATAGTTATCTCTTGCAGACCAGCCTGGGTAAAGCTGCATGTGTAGCTGCCTTTCTTTCCGAGCTAGTTCATAATATTTAGCTTGTTCTTCACGGGAGAGAGCATGCCACTGGAAATAAAACAAACAGTGTTAAACTAGGAAATACATCACACCCAAGCAATGTGTCTCATGAACAAATGTTTCTGTGACCCTTTTTTGGTCCTGTCTCACTGCAAGTGGAGAAGAAATTCATTACTGATCATGAGGTCTTGCATTTCCTACCCAACCATTTGAACATTTGTCAGCATTATAAATGCCAGCTGCCTGGAGCGAGAGAAAATTTGTTTATGCCAACTACAGGATTCTCCATATAATCTATTCAGGGAGCCATGATTGCCCACCGTCACACGAGAAGCCCACAGTACTGGTAATAAAACAAATTTGCCTTTACACAACCTTCTCCATTTCACATATCTGAGTGCAAATATTAAAGGTATGTCTCCACTACAGCAGTGAAACTGTGCACCCATAGCACGATAGTGTAGATGCTTCCTACAATCGACGGAAGGAGTTTTTCCATCAGTGTAGTTAATCTGTCTCTCAAAAGGAAGTAGCTAGGTCAATGGAAGAATTTTTCCATCAACCTTGCTGCATCTACTCCAGGGATTAGGTCAACCTAACCCCAGCACTTGGGGTAAATTTTTTCACAGCCCCAAGCAACGTACCTAGACTGGTCTTTTTTTAAGTTAAGACTAGGCCTAAGGCTTGGTCTACACTCAGCCATTAGGTTGCCATAGCTACGTTGGTCAGGGTGGGAGGAAAAAGCCACACTCCTGACAGACACAGCTATGCCAACAGACAGGGCCGGCTCCAGGGTTTTTGCTGCCCCAAGCAGCAGGGGGGGCAAAAAAAAAAAAGAAAGAAAAGCCGCGATAGGCGGCACTTTGGTGGCAGCTCCACTGCGCCACTTTCTTCTTCGGTGGCACTTCGGCGGCAGGTCCTTCCCTCCGAGAGGGACCGAGGGACCCGCCGCTGAATTGCTGCCGAAGAGCCAGACGTGCCGCCTCTTCCCCTTGGCCACCCCAAGCACCTGCTTGCTGAGCTGGTACCTGGAGCTGGCCCTGCCAACCTAAATGCAGGCGCAGCTGTGTCAATGGGAGAATGTGGGTGATGTTCCTAAATGTATGGAAAAAACCCTCCTATCAGCACACAGGACATATGTCTACAGTACAGGGAAAGGCCGGCATAGCTATGCCAGTACTCTCTCCACAGTGGAGAGACAGCCTAAGTCAGGCTCAAATACAAGAGAGCCTCCTGTCTTAGGTTTAAAAACAAATATATCCATATTTCTATAGGCTCGACTCCAACGGGAAGGCTGGTAAATGAAATTACAGAAAGAACACCAGAAGCTATTTGGGGAAGGGACTTTTTGTTTGGTATTTGTACAGTGCCTAGCACAGTGGGATCCTGTTCCATGACTGGGACTCCTAGGCATTATGAAAATATAGAAAATTAACTTTTGCAAGTTTGCACCAGTAAGGCAACCAGATAGCCCAAGCGCATCCTAATAACCATCAGTTCCGCATTGCAGTGGCATCTGCAGCTCTGCCTGTGACCTGTCCCCCTGCAAACACTAAACCAGTCTTTTGCTGGCTCCTGGGTGCAGAGAAAAGTTTCTAAAAATACTGGAACAAGGACATTTCTCCTTTCCATTTTCCTAGCTTCATTAGTGAATTTCTAAAGGCCAAAAAAAGAGATGCTTTGTTATTCCCACTTTTAAAATCTAACCTGCATCGTTTGCGGGGCACTGCCAGATAACAGGGGTCAATGTTCGACCCTTTTCTACTTCAGAACTAAAGAGTTTAGATAACTTTTTAAACTTGTGCAAAGTCAAGTTCATGGTTTTCCCCAAAAGAGCCATTTCCCTTGTTTGTTTGGATTCTTCACACAACATGGAAGAGTTGTTTTTAAAAATAATGACGTGACAAACTAGCAGGGAGACTCAGTTTCAGGTGGGCACTCCTGCTTCTAACTACTTTTAACAAATGACTAGGTTTTCAGGTCAAAAGTATCCTTTTAATGTCTTTCTTTTTGACACTTATGTCAAAGATGCACAGTAAAGGTTTGGTTTTAACTTGGCAAGTTCCAATATGTTGTTGAAAGCATAACAATCTAGCCTATTGATGGCTTTCTATCAAGCTAAATGCATGGTATCTCAATGCTCTCCAAAGAGCACGGACTATTCCAGAATAAATAATGTTAGTCTTTTACATCTGAGCAGTCAGTCAATCTGGGACACCCAGTAAAAGGAAGTATCAGCTAGGGAACAAATTCCACACAAAGAACGCCATTCAGGCAGCAGGTAGACACAACTAAGGCAGCCAGCTTTCAATAGAAAGAGAGGCTAGACTAGAAAGGTCAGAGTACCTCAACTAGCTGCCAGTTTAGGCATTTCTGCTCCAATGCACGGAAAGTGAAAATGCTTAGAATAGTGTTTAAGATAAGATAAACACATTTTGGGGAAGATTATGTGGTTTATAGCAAAATGATGCATTGAATATAGCTGCCTTATGACCATGAAAATAAAAACATCTTTCTAATAAAGGAAGCTCATCTTTCCATTCAAAACTTAGTAGGAAGTTTACATGTAACATGAGGAGGTGAAAGTGCAGTGGCACGAGGAATTCCATTTTATTTTCTGGGGTCACGGGTTCCTAAAGGTCATGTAACTGTTTCTGATGTGACAGAGCAGCAGGAGTTTCATTTCTCATTGACTTAATTGTTCAGACTCCTGGACTATCCAACAAGGCCTGGACTTCAAAATCTTGCAGAAGATTTACTTGTACAAGTGCAGAGGCCCCTTTTGGATAAAGGACATGTTCTCCCATATCACATCTCTTGAAAGTGTGCTACACATGTTCAAATTAAGGTTTCATTTAATACTACTATATACAAGGATTTAAATTCAGGGTCTAAAAAAACAACTCAGGAAAGCTAGAGAGTTCAGTGTTCAGAATGCACATTGGAGCTGGCACAGAGACCTTAATTCACAAAGTCATCAACTGTGATGGGGGTGTTGAGAGGGCAGGTATAACTATGCTAGTAAGACTAGAATGATAGCCTAGATTTGCAGCCTTAAGGCTGCATTTCCTGGCTTTTATGGGCATAAAACAAAGCATCAGATAATGTAATAGGGCATTGTTTTTTTTGTTTGTTTTAAGATAGGTATTAGGGCCATCATAATCTATAGATAAGTTCTAATTCCATTATAGAATAGACATGAAAGACCCATAAAGCTGCATTTTGTCAGATTCTGCAATTTTCATAGTTTTTTTTATTAGATATCGATGTCTTCTGATATTTAACTGTTGCATCCACTACAGGCAACAGTTCTCACTGATCCCAGAGTGCTGCCAACTTAAAACCTAGACTCCAGAGAGGCTCAGAGAATAGGAACTCTTCCCACTTACAGCTAGGAATTTGTCAAAGAGGTCACCATTTCACAATAGCATCAGAATGCCCAAAAGCCTGCAAGGGTGTCAGAATACAAGTTCTTTGAGGCAAAGTGTCAAAATGACAATGAAAGGGGATGAAGGAGAGAGAGCAAATAAGGGCTCATCTTCACTTGACACACTAGAGTGGTGCAGCTGCAGCACTTCAGCATAGACACTATTTACACCAACAGAAGGGTTCTCCCATCAGCACAGGTAATCTACCTCCCCAAGAAGAGCTAGCAGAAGAATTTTTCCATTGGCCTAGCACTGTCTACATCAGGGGTTAGTCGGCTTTATTGTGTTACTCGGGATGTGGATTTTTCAGACCCCTGAACAATGTAGCTGGGTCAACCTAACTGGAGTGTAGACCAGGCCTAAGGTTACAAACACTCAAAAGGCGCGCGCGCACACACACACACACTCACACACGTTTTGTGTTTGTTTTGTTTCATTGAGGGAGATGGGGTGGTGGTGGGTTAGTTAGAAAGTAAGAGCCACATAAAGTTGTCGACACACCTTAAAAGTAGGTCTTGAGGTACATTAATGAAATTAGCGAGATAGCCTGGATTAAAAGATTCTGAGACTTGTGAAATAAACAAAATGGAGCATCAAGGCTGGAATGATTAGTGGAGAGGAGGTGAGTATATTATTTTTTATATACAAGAATAATCATAATCAAATAAAAGCATGTTTTGATGGAGCCAGGAAGCAAGCTTTACAATATTCTTTACAAACAGAACCGTAATCATGTTGACACCAAACTCTGTTTTAAAAGCCAAGGGCTTTAGGTAGCTGGCAAGCACAGCTCAAACTAAAGAAGTCCCAGAAGAGAGAGAAAAATTGATCTTATTGGCAGTCTCAGAACTTGCATAGAAAGAGGAGAGAAAGGAGGGCTTTTTAATCATGTTACTTGGCACGTATTCTGATCTGATAATTTCTAAAGTAAGTAAAAATGCAGTGTACCAAGGCAACACAGCTGCACTACATCTCCTTGGCTAATTTACTCATGCTGGGCATGGATAATTCTAAGGTCTGGTCTACAGTAGGAAGATAGGTTGGTATAACTACATCACAGAGTGATGTGAAAAATTCACATCACAAACAATGCAGTTAAACCAACCTAACCTCCAGTGTAGACAGCAAAGAATCCTCCTGTCGACCGAACTACCACCTCTTGAGGATTATCTACAACAATGAGAGCATCCCTCCTCTCAGCATAGGTAGTGTCTACACTGAAGCTACAGCTATGCTGCTGCTGCATTTTAAGTGTAGACAAGTCCGAGGGATGGATTGTGGTCCTACTTAGAACCTGCATTTTATTTTTAGATCAATTGAATCTAATAAAAGTCTCTTTCCACCTGCTTTTTACTCCCAAGATGGAGTTAGTAAAATATTAAGACAGTCCATGGTAATATACACATTAGACACAATCACAACTTTTATGTCCAGTGCTGCAGTCAAAAAGAGAGGGGTCAGTCTGATGATATGGCTAACTCCCCTGCATGAAACCAAGATAACAGGTTTTTATTTTTAGTTGCATATCCTTGCTTCTACTAACTGTTAATACGTGTATTCTAGTCAACACATCAAGCCAGGAAGTTTGCCTTAAAACCCTCTAAAAAGGCTATATACACCAATTACTAGTAAATACATATTATTGTACATACCCTTCTGCCAAGAATCTGGTTGATAGCTGCGCTCTCCTTCAGAGTACACTCTGCTACGACGTTTGCTCTCATTTCTTTCATGTATAACATAAAAGCATTCAGAGGTTTTTTAATGTGAGGTCTTTTCGGCTCTTGCTCTTTTCTCTGTTCATGCTGAGGCTTCCTAAAATGTGGTGGGGGAAAAGACATCACATCTATTTACTAGGACTACTATACGTCTGGATTTCCCCGGACATGTCCGGCTTTTTGTTCTTTAAATAGCCGTTCGGGGGAGATTTCTAAAAATCTAAAAATGTCCGGGATTTCCCCCCCTGGTCGGCTATTTATAGACCGAAAAGTGGCAGCCAAGCGCCGCTCGGCAGCCAAAGCCCTTTCCCGGCTCCCTCCATCCCCTGCAGCTTTAGCATGCCACCCGGCCCCACAGCTGTCCACCCTCCCCCTGCTCACTTCCCCTCCTCCCCTCTCCTGAACACTCTGCCCTCCTGCCTCCCTCCCCCCCCCCCGCCTTCCCTGCGAATCACACGTTCGCGGGAAGTCTGAAAACAAGCAGGGGCAGGCAGGCAGGCAGCAGGTGGTAAGCTGGGGCGGTGGGGGCAGGGGGGACGACACGCGAGGAGGAGGGCTCCAGGGAGGCGCGGCACGGCACGGCGCGGCCCAGTCCAGCCCTGGCCGAGCGGCTCCCTCCGGCCCCAGCCAAGTGGCTGCGGCCCAGGGGCACTGGCCCTGGTTCCAGCCGAGCGGCGCCGGCAGAGCACCCCTGGCCCCGGTGGCTCGGGCCCCAGGGCGGCAGCCCCAGTTCCGGCCGAGCGCGCTGGCCCGGCCCAGCCCCAAGCCCCGTGACCCTGGCCGGAGCACAGCCCGATTCCTGGGCTCTTGCTAAAGCCGGCCCTGGTCAGGGGACAGGGACGGGGGGGTTGGATGGGTTGGGGGTTCTGGGGGGCTGTCAGGGGGGCAGGGGTCTGGAGAGGGGTCGAGGCAGGCAGGGACAGGGAGCAGGGGGGGGTTAGATGGGTCGGGTTTTTGCAGTCAACACCTTTGCACTAGAAACTGACTGAGTATCAGCTCACAAGCCTAGCTTCAGATAAGCCATCAAATGGCAATACAGCTTTCGGCAGCTACCACCTTAGATAATATTCAAGGGAGTGACCTAGAAATAAAGGCTTCATATCAATACTCCTCCCATGAGCCATCCACTCCCACCTTTAGTTATAGCAAACTTTACAGAATCATAATTCAGAGTGACCATGAAGGACACTTGCTTTGTTTTTTACTTCTCAGCCCTCCTTTTAACTATTAATTTGCAAAACACTTCAGGATTTAAGGGCTAGCACAGAAAGGCAGACTCACACATGCATTAAGTCGCTGTCAGTGTGTGGATGTTCTTGTTTGACTTGAGGTGTTACAATAGCTGGGTGAGGGATTCCAGTTGCATGAGGGCCTGGAGGACCAGGGATCATATGATGTGAAAACCTAAAAAACAAACCAACCAAGTAGAGAGTCTATAACAATAGGAAGAACAGACTGCATATCCAAAACTTGTACATTAGCAGTAGAACACAACAGAGCTTGCAACAAAGAATATGTAAAAATTAGTTAGCGAAGATTCATGCATTGTATCTAAGCTTATTCAAAATAGGCCAACATTTTGGTCGGAAGAAGTTATTTTATTACCTCTCAGATAAAGAGATGGCAATGTGCACAAGGAAGTGGAACATACCTACTGTTGCACTAGATATCAATAAAAATACACTTTCCCTATAACCAAAAGGGGCATTTCCACAGCAGCATATAAATACTGAAAATATCCATCACCAGCCAACAAAGGAGGGAACTGCCATGCAGAAAAAGAAAAAAATGCAAAAAGGAAGAGAACAGTCCTTTCAAAAAAACCCATAGGTATGTTGGTATTTAGTTTAGAACCTTTTGCTTTTCAAAATATTTTAAAGTAAACATGTAAGGGTCCAAGATCATTTCACCTATACCCCTACTTCCCCGACATTCTGGGCTAAATCTTTTAACTCTAAAGGCAAATCAGGTATTCCAGAAGGGAAAACCAACTGGTTCTTCCAGAACTAGATGACTTTCCCTTTCATTGTGTTAAGATCGAAGAAAAAAAAATCATCCTCATAATCAGGGGTGCGATCCTGAAAGTGCTGAGCATTCTGGCTCCAAGCAAGCAATGCACTGAAGCACATGCTTATCTTTGAGCATGCGAAATAGTCTCACTGCTGTAAAAGCAAGCACATGCTTCAGTAGCTTGCTGGATTGCAGTCCCAAGTGATCAGTACTTGCAGGATCAAGCCCCAAAAGAGAACAGTTTATAGCTCAGTGGTTTGAGCATTGGCCTGCTAAACCCAGGGTTGTGAGTTCAATCCTTGAAGGGGCCATTTAGGGATCTGGCGAAAAATCAGTACTTGGTCCTGCTAGTGAAGGCAGGGGGCTGGACTCGATGACCTTTCAAGGTCCCTTCCAGTTCTAGGAGATGAGACATCTCCATTAATTTTCAATTTGTTAGCGTTAAAGCTTATGCGACAGTGATTTGCACAAGAGAACCCAGTAACCCAACAGAATGAGGTTGGGAAGGGGTAAAGTTTGTTGTGGGGAGAGCAGCTATTTTCCTCTTGGATACCCTGACTGAAACATGCCTGTAGTTCACCTGAAAATGAGTAGAGGAAGAGTAATTAAACACAGAAGCCCATATAAAAAGTTGTGAGGAGCCCACCACTTAAGTGGACAATCCAAAGCCCAGTGTGAAAGCAAAACAAAATGCAGAGATGGGACATTGCAACCTTGTGTACACCAAGCACAGGATGTGTAAGCCATCTTTCCAGAGTGCAAAAGCATTACACAGAGAAGATTTGGAGTTTGGCATGGCCAAGTCTCAGTTAGCATTGCTTGCTTGCACTAATATGTAAACATAGTGCCTGATTCACACACCAGTACAGACATACTGTGTGTATTTACAGCTTGTTGGCATCCCTTTCCTTCGAATAGCTTTGGGCTAAGAAATTCCAACTTGGGAGTAGTTCTGCATATTTCCACATGGCACAGTACCCAATTTGAACTATTTAAGAGTGTAATTACATAATTCAAACTAGAATGAGAAGTTTTGCCTGGTTTCATATTTGAAGAATAAAAACTGGGGTATTTCCTAATATGTTGTGTCTAACGAACAATGCCCATTTGATATGAAATGGTTTGATTATCGGTTAACACAATTCATAAGTGTTTCTAATTTCAATACTTCACTGACTGCCAGGGAAATGCTGAATGAGACTAGTGTGGGATACAGGCAAACTGTACATACACAAACATTTTAAATAAAAATTATACATACATTTTTCGCTGACTGAAAAGCAAGCAAAGGCAGACCAAGATGCAAGCAGAAGAGCAACTTGCCCTTTAATGCCAGCAGTTACTCCCCAGTCAGTCATTCACCTCCTACACCTACCTGGACATGGAAGGGTCGACTGAGAGTGAGGATGGGTAGGGCTGCCTGAATCCACTCGAGATGGGATATACAGGCTGACCTTGCCTGAGGTCACAGAAGAAAGGAACCCATCAATAATATAATATTGTATTAAAAGATACCCTAGAGTCACAAGCACTTGATGGGAACTCAACGTGGTAGCATAAACAGTTATGTGCCATGTATTCTGTAGCTCATGGGTGTCTACATGCTTGCACTGAATAAGATTTCTCTCTCACCCACTGAAAAGATATTCGTAATCTAGGTTTTGTTAAACACAAAAAAACACATTACCTACTTTTAAGTCATTGGGCCATATTCCAATACCCTCAATTCCTGTGGAACAGTAGTCCCATTGCAATCAGTGTATGAGTACCAGAATCTGGTCCACTGTTAGTGTATAAACAGTGACTCCCAGAGAACTATTTGGAGAGTTTTCTTTTGAGGGGGGAGGGAGGGGAAATCTTTGAAATCCCAGGCCTGTCTTCATTTTACATCTTATACAGCATGTCACAAGTTGTCAGCACTTTTAAGAAGCTAAAGAAAAGTTACATTTTATTAATAAATATAAATAAAATGAAAAGTACATTTTAGTCACTTGGGTTTAAGGCTTTTTTCCTTTTCTTTTTTCAACCAAGTGACTAAAGCCAGCTCATTTGAAACTCCACCATTCTTTAGAATTTCTTAAAAGATATTGTCTCTATATATGGAATTCTATCACCAATTAATGCTTCAAACACTTTGAACTTTTTCTGCTTAGTTCACATCGTCTTTATTTCCAGTTGGCGTTGATGCAACTCTTGAACAAGGATTAATGCACTTAAGTAACAAAGTTCAGACAGAATAATTGATCCAGCTTTGAAAGACTAAGCTCCATCAATTCTATTCAAACACTTATTGATAGACAGATTTAGTGTTAAAACTGGGACTTCCAAAGCTGCTGGCATTTATAATGCTCAGGCTGAGAGTTTTCACACTAAGTGAGTATGCGTGTGTGGGGCGGGGGGAGGGGGGGGAGGAACAGTGCTCAAAACCAGAAAAAAAGTAGTAGAAATCTCAGTAATGCTGCAGCACAGAATTGAGCTGGAAAGAGGCAGAGCATAACGGATTGTGGAATATGTTCAAGTATGAGTGAGCACCGCTGAGTGGATTTCCAAATTTTACAATTAGTCTCTCCTTTTCTTCCAGTTTCCTTCCTTCCTTCCACACCCTCCCAATCTTTGCATCAAGAAACTATTCAGAAGAAATGCTGGCACTTAACCAAAGCTGGAAAAGGACCACCAGAAATGATCTGGTAGTGGTGAGGCGGCAGCTCAGTCTCGAGACCAGTGAACAGTAAACTGGAAATCAGGTGCGCTGTCTTTGCTATAAACTTACTATTGTGGTTTTCAGCAAGTGATTTGTGTCCTGATACCACACTGCACAGAGCACCCAGAGCTCAGACTCAGACTTTATGTCCAGAAGGGAACATCATGATCATCTAGTCTGACCTGACCTCTTGCACACTGCAGGCCACAGAACCTTGCCCAGCCACTCCTGCAAGAGACCCATAACCTCTGGCTGAGTTACTTAAATCTTGATTTAAAGACTGCAAGTTTCAGAGAATCTGCCATTTACTCTACTCTAGTTCAAACCAGCCAGTGACTTTTGCCCCATGCTGCAGAGGAGGGTGAAAGACTCCCTGAATCTCTGCCAATCTGATCTGGAGGGAAATTCTTTCCCAACTCCAAGTATGGCGGTCAATTAGACCTTGAGCATGTGGGTGAGACCCACCAGCCAAACACCTGGGAAAGAATTCTCCGTAGTAACTCAGAGCCCTCTCCATCTAGTGTCCTATTTCTGGCCATTGGAGATATTTGCCACTGTAAGCAATCATCATACCATCCCCTCCATAAAACTTATCAAGCTCAGTCTTAAAACACGTTATGTATTTTTGCCCCCCCTTGGAAGGCTGTTCCAGAACTTCACTCCTCTGACCATCAGAAACCTAAATTTCTAGTCTAGTCTAAACTTCTTGATGGCCAATTTATATCCATTTGATCCATCTTGTTCCAACTTTGGACCTTAATTTAAAGACTCCTCTCTCTCCCCCTGCTGTTTATCCCTCTGATGAATTTAGAGCAATCATTTCTCCTCAACCTTCATTTGATTAAGATAAACAAGCCAGGCCCCTTAAGTTGAGAGGCTGTTCAGCACCTTGCATGATCTGGTCTGAAATGTATGTTGGTTTCCCCTCAATCTAAAATTGGAATGATAATACTTACCATTAGGTAGGGCACAGAATTGAGTAACAAGGTATGGGATTCTAATTCACTTAACCCCTCTGAATTCAGTTTGTCCTCCTATAGCCAGCCACACACACACACACTTATCCATTCTAAAATGCTTGGAGATTCTCAGACAGTTGAAGCATTATTGATCATTCTGTGATGGGAGACGCTATACGTAAATACTAGCTCCTGAAGGAATCCTACTCTGAGCACGAGGATCCTTCTACTGCTAGTGTTAAAAATTAACAAAAATATATGAACTCTCCAGTAACTGAGTACCGTCCTCAAATCTTACCGATTCTGTAAGGAATATAATATAAAGTTTGTTCTCTATTTTGGTGCCATTTCCAGTAAAAAAAACAATTCCATACTTGAAAGTTTGTTACAAGTAATTGCAATGTTGTTTGTTAAAAAAATTGATCTTTAGTTTCTTGAGACCTGTTTTTCTGCAATCCTACCAAATGTCAAGACCCAGAAGTGTGAACCATAAAAACTATTCTCACTTCAAAGTGAAATCTATGTATTTCAATTTCCATACATGTTAAAAAACAGATCCAATTTATTTCAAAGATCAAAAACGTTGATCTTTCGAACTAAAATAAATAGTCATTTCTCACTGTAGTGATGTTTTTCTTAGCTCATAAATTCTGCAATTCATAGAGAGGATGTGCGTGAACATATGTCTAAACAGCAGCAAGAGGATCTTACCAGCCAAGAGGTGGCGTTATCTGTCCTACACCACCAGGAGACAAGGGATAGAAGGTAGGGATATCAGGAGCTGGAGGATGTCTGGACATGCCTGTCAGAGAGCATGGAGAATAAGTTTGGTATTTGAGTGAAAATGTGGTGATTAATACTATAATACAAAAATAACATGGTTAACATCACAGTAAAAATTGTTGTTCTACACAAGGAAGTCTAGCTTTATTTTTGGTTAGTATTACAAGAAAAACACCATTAATTCCAGCCTTTAGAATAATAAGTAGAGCTTGCATCCTCTACTAAGTTCAGGATTAAAAAAAGGGGTGGGGGGAGAACGGGAAAAAAAAACCCTCTTGGGAAAAGTAAAGTGGAAGGAGAAGACAAAAAAACAAAACCCTGACCATAAATGCAGCCGCCATGAAATCTAAAAATCGTACGGAGAGTCTGTGGCAATACATCTCTGAAGTGTTGCACTGAACCTACTGACAGAGTCCTGGGCAAGTGTTCTGAAGAGCCAAATGAAACAAGAAAAATAAAGCGTTTTCAAACAGGCAGCACACCAGAGCTAACAGATTAGGTAAATTGTTACTTGTACGTTTTTCACTGGTTCCCTTATGAATTTACAGATTTTGGAAACTTGCTACCACAGAGGATCAGTAGTTAATTAAGAATCATTTTCAGGCCTGTAATGGTCACACTTGATATGATTCATTTGGCTTCTGATTGTCACTCCAGCTCCAACTAAGCTCTTCGTCAAGTTGACTCCTATGGGCTCCAAGGTCAATCTGTGTTGCACTTGTAGTGTTTCATGGAAAAAAATAAGGGTCCCATGAGAAGCGATCCATCAGTTCACATTCCCCAGAATACAAAGTCCTACAACTGTAAAAATCACCTCAAGATTAAAACTAATCCTAGTCCCAACTGGGTCTGTGGTTTTCATGTTTTACCTAAAACTTATGCTCCAAGGAGAGAAAGAATTATGGCTAGAGGCCACAGAGACATTGGTTTATTTAAAATGTGTTTCAGGAGGAGGAGGGGTTTGGAACAGCAAGAATTGCAAATTTCACTTCACATGTTAAATCAACTACTTGAAAATGTATATTAAATATTTATATAGTGACACTCTAAAGGTGAAAGACGGAACATTTGTGATCTTTACTTTGAGACTCTTAATGTTGATATATTTTGACCATAAACTGATTTTTAAAATCTGCATTTAAGATTAAGGGATTTAAAAGGGTGTGTTAGAAATCTTAAAATTGTAGTGGGGGAGGGGGGAGGATGGCAAAAATGTCACCTTAATGGTGTTGCTGCTACTCTGTCAGTTTTGACGTTTCAGTAGGAGCTGAAATGAACAATTTAAGACCAGAAACTGAAAATTTATCTATGGTAAATTCATGGTTACAGGCTGGGGGGGGAGTGATGGCTGACAGAAGAGAACCTTCATTTGGCTTATTCTCAAGTACTCCATCTCCCTTTTACAGATTCTATAACAAGAATTGCCATACTGAGTGAAAACAAGCCCAGTGTCTTGCCTCTGGCAATGGCCAATCCTCAATACTCCCAAGGAATAAGAGACCACTATATTGTGTGCAACCAGTTGTTCAATTTTACATAAGGGCCTGGTGCTATTCCTTCCCAAGCCTGGCAACATATGATTGGATTGACAACTCTGACACGAGTTACTCCTGGTCCAAGCTATTCAGCCCTATAAGGACTCCAACTTCAGTATGAAACATGTTGATCACTTGTGGTATGGCAGTAAAATGCATGGGCTGACTACATACCATGTGAAAGTGGTACTTTTGATTATTTGTGTGACATTTACTGACATTTTGAGGGACCCCTTCTTGTATGATGGGACAGCAAAAAGGAAGGACTGCTCTCCTTGGACAATGCCTTTGCTGTGTGTTTAGTCACATGCACAAAGAGAAGAGTCTTGTAACTATTTACTAACCCTCAACTCCCAGATGATTCACCTTAAAGTCAGGCTGCACATGCATGAAAACCGAGAATAAATCCTAGAGAAATGGCTGTCATGCAGTAACATAACAAAGCTCAATGGCAACTATTGACATCTCTGCCTTTAGTTAAGAATGATTTGGGTATGGCGAAACCAGTTCAAAGCTGGCATAACTCTTGCCAATTCTGTACCACATGTTCCCAGACCTCATAATACAAGGCACCTTGAAAGATGAGTGCAGCAAGAGCTAACGGTTTGCTGAGTAACATACCACCATTGCCAGAGAGACAGCAAGTCCCACAGCCAGATGCCAAGGTCTAGCAGAGCCCTGAGAAGAAGACACCCAGAAACTAGGATCTGAAGCAATTCATTTTATCGAGTCCTCAGATCAAAGAGTAACCAGGAGGTAGGACACAAACACCAATGGAAGCATATGACAGCAAACTTCCTTGAAGTTTACCGGGGACATCTGATCATTTTACAGTTTACTAGGTTCTGCTGCACAGATAGTATTTAAATTGGGAGACCTAGTTTGACTAAAACCGTGGAATATTCGGTCACCTTAGAGGCCCCCAGTCTTCTCGTTCATTCCCACCTCCAGCAACCTTTCATCTGCTCAGAGGCATGAGCACTGTAAGATCCCCCAGTTCAGTGAGAATAGGATCTATGCCTTGTGTTAAGGGCAAGAAAGATCTGGCAAGGAGGGAGAAAGGAAGAACAACAACAGAAGGAACCAAAGTAAGTACGGGAGGACTTTAAGCTAGGGCCTATGGTGGGCACAAGAGGAAAATAACTGTAGTACAGAAAGGCAAATGAAAAGCAAATCCTGGCTGAAGTCTCAACATCTTCTGAGGTCCCGTGCTGTGCACCCGATGAGCCACCACAGGCTGACAACTCTGACATAAGGGATAAAACTTCAGTATCATAATGGGGGCACATCATAGCAATGGGACTGAGTAATTTGTTGAAAGTCCCTGAGGAATTAATTCATATACATATTTAGCTTCTGCATTCGTGCCCAGAGAGCAAGACTCACAAGGCCAGCAGAGTCAATACTATTGTCCATGTTGCAGGAGCTGGAGTAGTGCCCTGGTCTATACTTGCTTGCTCCAATGCTTAAGTTCAGACTATCTCACAAGCTAGCCTTTTAGGAGTGAAACAGAAATCACACAGGAGTGTGACTGGTTCTTGGATACAGTCCATTGATATTGTTGGCATAGGAAGGACAATGAGCACACAAAGGATACATGGGAGGAGTTTAGAAAACCTCCCTCAAATGGACAATACTGACAGTACTCAATGATTTGTCTAGAGATGGGCTTGCACCAGGACCCCAGTCCAGAACTCAATGGACCTTCACATTCTAGCTGTGCAGCTTGGCAGTCCTCCAGGCATATACAAGAGTATTGAAACCAAGGGAGGCAACCTATGGATTATGCACATAGCTAGTCCCCTACACAACCTGAGCCAGCTGCCACCACAAGGCCAAGTTTGCTGCCTTTGTTTCCCCAGTAGAGACCATGACCATCAGAGACCCAAGGGAGCAGTCTCTGAGCAGGCCCTCTATGGAGGGCCAGGAGCTCTGCTTTCTCTTCTCCGGGTGGTACTGGCTGCCCTAACATCCAAGGGAAGCAAGAGACTTTTCTACAGCCTCCTAACTACCTGTTTTAATAATCATAGCATCCGTTATATCTGTGCCTCTGTGCTCCATCTGCTGGGCTACCCTGCCCCTGAACCCTCTGTTCTTCTTTTCCTTATCTCCAAATGCTGTGCCACTATCTTCTGCTCTGGATCACTCCTCCACTCTCCCTAGCTTCACCTTGTTCATCACTGTGCCTCTTGTGTCTAGCATCTACCCACCTCACTTGCTCCTTCCTTGTCCTTGCCAATCCCCTGCTCTCACCACACCACACTCCCCTCCTTCTCATTTCCTCTCTTGGGGGATCTCATTGGGAGCTTGTTTCCTTGCTCTCAAATCCACTCGTCTCCATCACGTTCTGTGCATCTTCACTTCTGGTGACCTGTCTCAATCCAGGTTAGTGCACTCCCACACCACGTTTTAGGTGCAACTGAACCATGAGACTAAATTAATCAAGACCCATATGGTTTTAGGTGAAAACCACCACCACCCCTAGTTTCAAACAAGATGTGTAGATCTTCTCAAGTCTTTCAGTGAAGCCCCACAAATTGCATTCAGTGACATTGTGTTTGTGTGTTGCAGGACAAAGCTGCCCAGCAAACTGTAAATCTGTTCAATGGCCGCTACAACCAGGAGATAAACTTACAAAACTATTTGGTTTTGAATGTTTTAAGTGCACAAAGAAATAGTTGACATCTAAAGATGCATACATCTAAAAAAAAAAATCAGTCTTTTTGCAAGATTAGAAATCTTACACAGTTCAACTACATGCCCAAGATTCTGTTATACTTACACTGCCTCAAATTGTGTGTTCTGAAAACTACACATGTATTTTACAGACCACTACTCAATTAAGATAAGTGGCAATAAGGAGAGAAAGGGCACTAAGAAAACTTCCTCTTGCACAGCACTACATTTTGGAATATGATGAAATATGGGAAGGAAATAAGGACATGAAATACAAGTTTGACAAAACAAGGAACTTAAGGTTTTAGATATATAGTTCAACTCACCTTCCTGTGTATCAAATCATTGAGATTTCATATTATGTCTGTGCTGCAATACTTGGGCACAACAGGGGGCGCCAAGGACTAATTTTGTTTAATCATTTTGAAATATTTTGATGAGCAAAATAAGGCAAAGTGATAAAAATGCGCATTGTCCTCCAACTTTAAAGAGCCAGTTAAAATATTTATATTAGGCAAGAATAGTTGTCCCATACCAACACATTACATGTCAAGTTTCAGAGGAAGATAATTTGCTAAATTAGGAGACCCTTGAAACCAGGATTTAGAATAGATCCTTTGATATGGTGGTGATGTTGGTGGGCTTCAGGGTACTAGAGCTCCAAAACTAGCATTCACAGTGTTTCTTGTGCTTTCCTTTAGTTGTTAGAAGTAGCCTCACCTTGTTTTGAGTTGACATCTGAGGGGATGTGTGAAGGGTGTGACCCTGGAGAAAAGTGCTCGTCGCTGTAAGTGATAAGTGGGGTGAGAGGGTGAACCGCATGTGAAGGCTGCACCACTGGCACCTTATTTGACTGCAAGAAAGTAAAAACAAGAAGCATTAGTAATAATTCTCAATTCTCTAATAGGTTTTTTTTTGGGGGGGGGGGGAAGCAGCGGACACTCATGGTAACTTGTTTTAAAAAGACTCTTATTTGTATTACTAACCACATTTAACCTCCTTGCTCCTGAACATACAAAACATGGACTCTTACCTGCTAGGACAGAGTGCTTTTGAGGGGGATGAGGCATGACAGTCAAGCTTGTAGTGGCAGCCTGAAGACTGTTGGGGCGGACCAGATCGAGAGGGTGCTGAAGCAACAGCCAGAAAGTTGCTCTGGTTAGGTAGAGAGACAGCTGCAGCTGCTCTTGGGAGGCCTAGTGGAGTGGGGTTATGGGAAGACGCAAGAGGAGGAGCTGACTAGTAGGAGGGCAAGCAGAGGCCAAGCAGTCCACATAGTACCAGAATAGGACCAACTACACAGCAGAAATGAAGTTATGGGAAAGCTCTACACCACCAATTACAGTTTGCATTTGTTCGGCCTGGAACAGTGAAACCAGTCTGATCAGTGTCATTTTTGTTTGATGTCACTGTCTGGTTCTTGTGCATTAATACAGTGCTATACTGTTGAAAATTTCCAACACTGCTGGGGTATCGTCTCCTTCCTTCTGCCCTACCCCAATCCCCCAAAAAAGAGTGATGAAATTTTAAATAAATATTTCAGTTCATAGCAGGGAACAGAACAGTCCACCACAAGAGTGTAATTTAGGGTATAGCGAGTCGACAATGTCCCTTTAACAAACTAGGTTGCTTATGATCAAAACATATCAGCTCAATTTCTGGAGAAGGATAGCACCAGATCCCTGCTGCTTAGGTTGACGTGTACTAAGTTTCTAAGAACTGAAAAGTGCTAAAAATGCCTGAGAAGACCAGTATTGTCGTGATATGCTCCCAACTGGGTGTTGAAAAAAATACAGATATAAATAAAACACACACTTTTATTTGATATTTTCTACAAATTAGACAGCCATTAAAAACAAAAAAGTGTTTGCCTGATACACGCAGGAGAGCCCTGAAGTTGAGGAAACACCACCAGCAGTAATTCTTCTCACAGCTCAAACATTATCCTCAACTCCTTACCAAAAAACCCCCTAGAAAACAACTTCTTTTGGGGGACTCAACCAGGCCATGTGCACATTACCTACTTTCCTATATATCCTCATTCCTCGCTTCTCATAGCAGGACTATGCTATAGTAATCCCAGCATGTAACGGATAGATTACTCATCATTTCTACCCCAGTATTCTGTCTGCTGCCCCTCCGCAAAAATAATTATGCCACAAACAGAGGTTAACAACTAAAAATGAAGAAAGTGGTCAGACAAAAATGCTCTTAAAGCTCAGCAAGGACACTAACTGCCAAATATTTGGAATTAAGAGAAAAAAATTAAGAGACCATTGAAATTAAGTTTATTTGAATCCCAATACTCAAACCCTGGCATAATAGATTTTAGGACTATATGTCAAAGTATAAATCAAAGATTTCTTTAGACTTCTAGAACTAGAAACATTAAGTGGATAACTAAATTTAAAAAAAGGCTAATAAAAGTGCATGGAGGAGTGTGGCTGGGAACCAGTGCAGTATTTTCTGCTTTCCTTGTTTTCAGAGCACCACCTTAAGGAACTTGCATTAGAAGGCAGTATCTTCTTAATGTCTGACCTATCCCTCCAGTCATATAGCTCAGAATCTAGTGCCATGATATTTTGCTAAATTATGCTATCCTTGCTCTCCTCTTAATTTTACGGTTTTCAGCACAGATTTGCTTTCCTGTGGGAAGGAGATAAGAACCTGAGGATTTTAATTTAAGCTTTGGCCTTGTCTTATATTTTGCAAGATGGAGAGAGAAAGCAGCGCTAGTAGGTGTTTTAAAGCCAACAAGAATTAGGTCCATTTTTATGACCAAATAATAGAAGCAATATGAATTTTCAATAATATGTAGGAGTTCAGTTCTAAAGGTGATCGCTCAGACTGCTGTTCATCCCTCCTTTTTGTATAAATTAAATAAAATAGGTGCCAAATTTCAGATGATTTGCAAATCATGTCTCAGTCTTTAGCTGCAAGATTCGTGCATTGACTCTCCAATCAGCAGTAACTTTAGCTACAATAGTCAGTGTATTGTAGGTGTGTAGATGTGTTTACGTCACACATCAGTTAGGCAGTACTGATTGTTCAAGTCTGGTAACTAACCTTTTGTACCATGTGGAGTATAATTAGTCTGCATGTTCCACGGTAGCAGGGTTACTCAGGAATTAGTTTTAGATATTATCCATTTAGGCTTTTAGTTAGCCCTTCCTTCTATCCTCTAGGTCTTCAGCGTCCTGGTGACTTGTTTATTTAAACATCTTATTTCACACACCATAGACATCAGGTTATCCAGCATGCCTGCCACATGCTGCTTTTAAGTGCTTGGAGCAGGTAGAGCATGTTGTTTACCTAGCCCCCTCTCAAGATAGCTTCTGTAAGAGGAATGGTGGCATCAGTCCACTTCCTACTGGATAGCTGTCTACACCAAAAAACCATTAGCTGGCATGGATGGCAAAGGCCCCAAGGACTGAATGGACAGACTACTGAACAACCCACTCATCCCTAGAGATTGTACCTTATATATGAGGAACCAGACACATTGGTGATGGGATTGTGGGGAAGGGAACTTTATTACTATTGCATGTGCCATTACCATCCTAAGAACAGAGGAATTCTCTCTAGGTCTCTCAATCCAGCTCTATCAATGAACAGAAAATTAAAGCCAATAGACACTATCTTAGAAGTCTGACATTCCTAGAAGTACCAGGTCAAAAAGTGATCTTAATTGGCTGATCCATGCACAGCTACCCCTTCAAGTCACTGCTTGCCAGAAGTTGCATTTCTGGTAGTGGCTGTGCTTGAGACCCCTAGATTCAGATTACTTACTGGCAAGTAGCAAAGATGTACCCTATTCTACATATCTCTAGATTTCATTTCAAAGCTGGAGCACTGAATCAAACTTTGCTTGGAAAGTTTCATGTTCAGTTTCAAGTTTTTTTTTAAAATGTATTTTATCAATGTTCTTCTGGTGATCACTGAGGAACGCCAACATTCCACAAACTCATTCAGGGAAAGGGATTCAACCTGGGCTCGGCGTTCATTAAAAGCCTTTTGTAAGTCTGGTACTAGTGAAAGAGTGATACTGTGCTTTACCCATTCATTTCCCTCCATCTTAAGGCCCTTGACTGGGCTCTCCGGGGCATGGGCCCTCATGGGCTGAAAATCTGCCAGAAGCGAGGGGCAGAGACCAATGCATGTCATCCAAAACAGTCACTCTACTGAAGAGGCCAGAGTCATCTGACCCGGATAATATAATGGGATGCGCCAAGCATTCAATCAGGCCTGGTCTAAATGGGTGGGAAAGATTCAGAATAACATATGAATATAAATTGATATAGTTATGCCACTATTATCCCCCATATAGACACTTTTTTCAGTTCAGGTTGCTTGGGGAGGGAGAATATCTATACTGTGTACAGCTATATTGTGGTAGCAAGCTCTCAGTGCCTCTTCCAGCAGGGTTCTTAAGGAGCCCTGATCAATTTTAGAGCTGCTTCTCTCCCTCAGGAATTTCACCAGAAGGACAACAGGTACAGGTTTCTAAGGAGAGGGAAGTGGAGTCACAAAAGTGCAGCTTGCCTGTACACACCCAGAGGGCATTTTAAAGTTAACCTACAAATATCAATTTTCATCTATGGCATTTCATCGCTATATGCTGCATTCCACCCCTCCACCCCAGTCCCCCAATGTGCCAGCACCATGCTCCAATGGAGTTTTGTTATTTGTTATGGAACAACAGAGATGAAGCCAGTGACATGACTCTATTCAACCTTAAAGAGCAGGGGGAATATTATAAAAGTTGCTGCCAAGTCAGTGTGCTTAAGCAGGATCTGTATCATGTTATAAGTGTTAACTACAATACTAAGTGATAACTGCAATTAATCCTGCTCATGCTGAAAAGCTAGCAAGGTTTTGTTTTTCACTCAGAGGGTCTCCTTTCCAGAGTGTATTTTATTCTGGTATAATGTGACAAGACACAGTTAGAGGGAGGGTGGGAAGAAAAAAAGGGGGGGGGAAGAGACGTGGATTTTTAAGTCTTTTCAAAAAGAGATGACTAGCTAAAACATGTAGGGAATGAGTTGAATTCCATCTCTCTCCAGGCCAGAGCCAGAGGTAATAGGATGTTGTACTGGAGAGCATCGACAGACACAATGGCCACAATCTAGGTCACGTAGAGTAGGAGGGGAAATCAAATAATTTGGTTTCTCTTCTTGTACAGCTTGATAAAGGAAACCAATCTTCAACCATTTTAGAGATTGGTTTCCCTTTATCAATCTGTATTATGGACTGTGCACATCAGCTTTTCCCCAATTATTCTATAATGTAATGTACTTTACTGCAAAAGACGTGAGCAATTCAAATAGATCTGAACCAAGGGCCTATCAGAGTTTGGGTCATAGACACTGTAAGCTCCAGGAAATGGAGACTATTTATGCCTTCTATGTTTTGCACAGTATCCAGTATACACTCAATGACTACACAATTTAAAAAAAAAATTAGCCATTGCTACCACATGCAAGTTTCAAGGTTTAGATTTTTATACTGGTGTGATGCTTGTGTGTACACAACATACCTTTCATTCCAAATAATTTACAAATTTGGAATCTAATCCTGTAAACCCTTAATCATTTGATCAATCCCACTGAAGACAATGGGACTATTTGCATGACTATGGACCACTTTTGTGGACTGGTAAGAGTTTCAGGAGTTGTTCTTATAAAGGAAGTTGAATCCCCCATTGAAATGCAATGTTTGGATACAATACCATAAATCAGTTTATGATGCAGTTCTTCTTAAAAAATAGGTCTTTTAATAAAGTCATATATATGCTGAAATGGCTCCTCACCCAACTCCCAGATTGCATATAAACAGATTGAAGCCTATGTATTT